ATTTTTGTAAACAGTGTCAAAATTTACAGAATAACGAAAATAATAACTTTAATTATCATTCTTCTACACAAGAAAGAGTCTTAGCCTATTGGTTTTGTTGAGTCTTAAGTTTGAAAAGGCGTTGAGTTCAATTCTACATCATCACAACTTTAATCACATAGGTTCTCTCAAATATTTGCAAAAAAAATGTGCTTAGTTGAGGTTCGAACCTCTGATGTCTTAGAGCAAAATTAAGCACATAACTGCCGCACCAAGAGATAATTTATGTCAAGTGATGTCATTTTTTTCTACTTATCCCTTTCCTTACAGTATTAATACATATATTTAGCGAAAAATTTCGACGAAGTGGTGTCACGTGACACCACTTCGTTAAGCATGCATCCGCCCCTGTGCATATACTCTACCCTCCTCACACCCCACTTGTGGGAATTTACTGGGTTTATGTTGTTGTTGTTGCTGTTGCATTTGGGGTGTTTATTCTATGTCTTTATCTGATGAAACCTTTTGCTTCAAGTAAGACGTGCTAAAGGATAAAGAAACATACTACTAGTAGGTACTTTGTTTTAAGGATTGGTACTAACTTAAGTTTGCAAAATCTTTTCTCTTTGATTGAACAAGCTTAGCTGTAAAAATTGTCAAAAGTAGCCACCTTTTTTGTTTGCTTAGTTTGAGGCTACCTTTTCCCTACTTTTTCGTGGGATTGGACTGGTAAGAACTACTGGGCTACTGGCCGTATTTCATTCTTGCTGGTTCAGTGCTGAGAGGAGTCTAGCTTTTCCTTTTTAAATTTTATTTGGGGGGGGGGAGGGGGGGAGCGGGACTGATTGTGTTTGGAATACTATGACAAAATAACTCCCTTTTTTTTTTTATCATTATTTCCATTTTCTAGCAGCTGTTAAAAATCTTCCTTATAATTATGCTCTTATAATTTGTGACGGGCAGGTGCTTGATCAAATGTCTTTTGCGTCCTGTCGTCCTCTCAGTTGCATATTGAGTGCTCCCTGGATCTTGGACAAATCACAGTCTTGAAAGAGTTCCCAACCAAAGCTTTGGCCATGCAATGGCTGAAATCATGTCTGGAATTTCCGTTTTCTCCAACCAACCCCTATACACTATTAGTACTGCCACCAAGTACAGCCATAGGCCATCACCTGACAAAATTAAATTTTTGATAGACAAATCCAAAAGCATCAGACAGATTTTACAGATTCATGCATTTCTTATTCGCTACGGCCTGGAGAGTGACCCGATCTTGAACTTTAAGCTCCAAAAATCATACTCTTCTCTTGGACACCTCAAACATTCTGTTTCCGTCTTTAAGCACACTCAAAGTCCAACTGTGTTCTCGTATAGTGCCATTATCCATAGTCATGTGATCAATGATCTCTATGAAAAAGCCTTTGTCTTATATATCCAAATGCTAACTCAAAATATTGAGCCTAATGCATTTACATTTTCTTCCATCCTAAAAGCTTGCCCACTTGAATCAGGAAAAGCCCTTCATTGTCAAGCCCTAAAACTTGGGTGTGAATGTGACACTTATGTTAGAACTGCCCTTGTGGATGTCTATGCACGAGGAAATGACATTGTCTCAGCTCGCAATCTCTTTGACACAATGGCCGAAAGGTCTTTGGTGTCTTTGACAACAATGATTACTGGATATGCAAAGAATGGGCATGTGCAAGAGGCAAGAGTGTTGTTCGACGGGATGGAGGAGAGGGATGTTGTTTGTTGGAATGCCATGATTGATGGGTATATCCAACATGGCGGGCCTAATGAAGCTTTGGTTCTTTTTAGGCAGATGTTACTGTCAAAAGTAAAACCTAATGAAGTAACTGTGGTGGCAGCTCTTTCTGCTTGTGCGCAAGTGGGAGTACTGGAATCAGGTCGGTGGATTCATGCTTATGTGGAAAGTAACAGAATTCAAGTAAATAAACATGTAGGTACTGCTTTGATTGACATGTATAGCAAGTCCGGGAGTTTAGAGGATGCGAGAATGGTGTTTGATCAGATGAAATATAAGGATGTCATAACGTGGAATTCAATGATTGTAGGATATGCAATGCACGGACTTAGCCTTGAAGCTTTACAGCTGCTCAATGAGATGTGTAAGTTGGGTCTCCACCCTACCGATATAACATTTATTGGCATTTTAAGTGCTTGTGCTAATGCTGGATTGGTCGCTGAAGGGTGGGATTATTTTCGCTTAATGGAGAAATACCGGATTGAGCCAAAAATTGAGCACTGTGGTTGCATGGTGAATCTTCTTGGACGAGCTGGACAATTAGAAGAAGCTTATGAATTTGTCAAAAGTATGAAGATTGAATCTGATCCTATTTTATGGGGAACACTACTGACTGCTTGTAGGATTCATGGGGACATAAGGCTCGCAGAGAAAATTATGGAGTTCCTAGTTGAACAGGATCGTGCTACTTCAGGAACTTATGTTCTGCTATCCAATATATATGCTGCTGTTGGTGATTGGGATGCGGTGGCAAAGGTGAGGGCGTTGATGAAGAGTAGCGGGGTTGACAAGGAACCTGGTTGTAGCTCCATTGAGGTCAATAACAAAATACATGAGTTTCTTGCCGGTGACATGAAGCATCCTAAAAGCAAAGAAATTTACGCAATGCTGGAGGAGATGAATAAGTGGTTTGAGGCTCATGGTTACATGCCGCAGACTGATGTAGTCTTGCATAATCTTGGGGAAGTTGAGAAGCAGAAATCGCTTGCTGTTCATAGTGAAAGGCTAGCCATTGCTTATGGGCTAATTAGTACTCAGCCAGGAACTACAATCAAGATTGCCAAGAATCTCCGTGTTTGTCCAGATTGTCATTCTGTCACCAAGCTTATTTCAAAAATCACAGGACGCAAAATCATAGTGAGGGACCGGAATCGCTTTCATCATTTTGCAGAGGGTTCATGTTCTTGTGGTGATTTCTGGTAGAACTATTAGCTAATGCTAACAAACAGGCTGGCTTCCATATATAGCTTTTTTCTTGTACATTTTTTGGCCGTTTTGGACAGAAATTTCACTTTTCAATTTCTGGAAGTTATTGGCTTCTGTTTGTATTGTACTAACATTTTTAGAAGAAGTGGGAACAGAAGGAGCATATTTATAGGGAGAAGCTGAAATCATTTTTTTGGCATTTCATGTATTTCAATCTTTATGATAGGGAATTCTTCCATACTTTCTCGCTAGTTAATTCTAACTGATTTTAGTTTGAAAACGGTTCAACTGGCTGAAGTTGCAATGATGACCTATAGTTTCTTGTATGTGTCAAAGAGATGATAAGGGAGTAAGGTCTTTCAGATTGATGTTGTTGACCAGTGAGCTACATCTCATGGTATTTTACAAAGGTGTGTGTCGCTGTAACATCTAAACAGGTTTAGCAGGCAGAGCGGGGGCCAAGATGCAAGCATCTAACAGCTTGTTTGGATGATTGTTACATGGTTCATAATGTATCGTATTGTTTGTCGTTGTTTGATGATGTCACGAACCACCAACATAAAGAATAAACTTGTAATATTACTAAGAAAAAATATGATATATAGTAGAATTATTATATTAAAAAGTAGAATAAAGGATAAAATATGATTATTTAATAGTATGGAAGGGCAAGATGAAAAGCAAAAACAAGGTAACGACATCACCACATCAAATCCGTTGTTACATAAAACGGCACTTTTCGTCGTTACATATTTAACGATACGATATAATAAAATTAATGTAACAATCAAAACAAACATTGTATTTAAAGTAACAATACGATATAATACAATAGGTAACAACCATCTAAATAAGTTGTAAAAGTTACATAAAAAAATTAAAATATTTATAAAAGATAAACTATATAGTTTAGTCTGATTTTTTCTTGTTCAATATCAAACCAAATACATGTCGATTTCTTTAGCTAATTTGTTTCGATTTTCTTGCTTCAGTTTGTTTTTTTAGTTTTTTCTTGAACACCCCTATTCATAACTAAACTCAACCAAATCAAAATAATTTATTCGTTTACCTTTAAAATTTATTTAATTACCAAGTCAAACTTTAAAAACAAGTATAGCAAGTGAATCAAACCAACAACATTTAAATTTTTGACAAAGTTTTCTACTGTCACCACTAGTCAAGTCCTACTGATGCGTAAGAACATCTTTTATCAATAAAAATTGAAAATCTTACACATGTCTTAAATAAGTCATGACTTACCAATCTGTAGTTATTAATGACAAATTATCAAAACTAGTCAAACACATATAAAAATTTAAAAATCAAATAAATAAGGTTCTTTTCGCTAATTTGTTTCATGGATGAGGTAGCAAACAAGTTGATGGAAAAAAAATTATATACAAGATTCATCTAAGCATAAACGGACCTTTTTCGATGGGTATAGATGAGTCAATATACAAAATTTGAGGGAGATTAGAGGTGATTTGGACTGATTTGGTATCAAAATTCATAGTTAAAATCGAGTTTCAATTTTTTTTCTGTGTATCAAACATGTATCACGTATGTATCACACACACATGTATACATGGATATATATGTTCTACACATTTGATACAAATATACATATGTGATACACAAATGATATACAATGTGATACACATATTATTTTTTTCATGTTTATCTTCTACTTCGAATTTTCAATTCAAATAACATCAAAACTCCACCAAATCACCCCAAATTGAGATTCAAACTCCTTAAGATGTACCCAATCTATTCTAATAACACACACTCAAAAGAAAGCAAATTTTTGACCCTTTTTTGGCTACATTATCTAAATGGCTAATATTAATAATGTTTAATTAGTATTAATAATATTTAATAAATTGATCAATTTTCGTAATAAACTACTTATAAATGGATATAACCGGTAGTTTCCCTTCAAATTATACACTACTTGAGGGAGTTGGGCCATAATCTGGTTTTATAATGGGCCAACAGTTTGCATCTTGTCCAAGTCCATATATATAATACACTGCGACTCCTCGTTAACTCTTTCCAAGCCTAGGGTTTATACCAAAAACCCTTGAAAGGCCAGCAATATTCAGACTTCTTCCTCCATAGTGTCCCTCTTCGCCGCCTTCTATTCTCGTAATTTCTTCACTCTGCATCTCAAATTTTGAGTTGTATTATTGTGCTGTTTCATCTATTCAATTAGGGTAAGGTTTTGTTTTTTTTCTTATTCATTTGCTTTTGCTGATGCTGAAGAGTTGAGTTTATACTTAGTTATATGCATATTCTGAAATTTCGTTGAAAATTTCGGCGAGTGGTTTATTTGGGTATCTGTAAGTGGGTATGTTTGTCACTTTTCTTTTTCAGCTCATGAATTTAGATGAAACTTGTGCTTAAGGTATAACTTGAGTTGATTGATTTGCTCTTTACTTTTGTGGAACTGAAAGTGAAAATAAAAGTTACAGCTTCAAACATTTAGATTGATTCTTGTGCAGCATATTGTTTTCCCTTTTGATTGAAATCTTATTTTATTTTCATTTTCGAATTCCAAAAATTATCTTATTGCATTGGGAAAACCTTGTTAAGCTTCATTTGCTTCGTTATTGGGTATGAACCAGATCAGCTTTTACTTGTTTCTTTGTGGGATTTCAATTATTTAATCGTATAACTTTGAACTTGAGATGTGTTGGGTTTCATTTCAATGTCATGGATATGAATGCTAAAATCCGGTATATTTCAAGATTTCTTTTTCCTCTTTAGGTTGATTCGATGTATGAAGCATCTCTTAACTATAGTTACATGATCGTAATTTGCAATGAATTTGTCTAAAATCGGATGGGATGACTGGTGCGTCTATCTGGACGGATTTTAAGATAGTCTCTACATGCTGTAAAAGGTTTCTATTTTCATCTGTACTGCATCACATACTAGCATATTGAAGGCATAGACTGAAAAAACCCAATGGAATAATCTAGTGGTAATTTTTGAACTTGAGTCCAAAGAATTTCTCTCCCTTAATTGTGTGTGTATTTTCATAGTTTTGAAGGACCAATTGATAAGCTTTTCAATGGAAAATACTATTGCAATTTGTGTTGCTGATTGATTGGTTTGATAGAGATCAGTTGGTTGATGGGTTTTTGTGTGCATCTGCTCATACTGTTTTTCGTTTTACTTGATCCAGATTATAAAAAATGGTGCAGTACAACTTCAAGAAGATTACGGTGGTTCCCAATGGGAAGGACTTTGTCGATATCATTCTGTCTCGCACACAGCGTCAAACACCTACTGTTGTCCACAAAGGATATGCTATCTCTCGTATACGTCAATTTTACATGCGCAAAGTGAAGTATACACAGCAGAATTTCTATGACAAACTCTCCACCATTATTGATGAGTTCCCCAGGCTTGATGATATCCATCCTTTCTATGGGGACCTTCTTCATGTGCTCTACAACAAAGACCACTACAAGCTTGCCCTTGGCCAAATTAATACTGCTAGAAATTTGATTTCAAAAATTGCTAAAGATTATGTGAAATTGTTGAAGTATGGCGACTCACTCTATCGCTGTAAGTCCCTTAAGGTTGCTGCTCTTGGGCGTATGTGCACTGTTATAAAGCGCATTGGCCCAAGTTTAGCTTATTTAGAACAGATTAGGCAGCACATGGCAAGACTTCCCTCAATTGATCCCAATACTCGGACAATCTTGATTTGTGGGTATCCAAATGTTGGAAAGAGCTCGTTCATCAACAAAATTACAAGAGCAGATGTGGATGTGCAGCCTTATGCTTTCACTACAAAGTCCTTGTTTGTCGGTCATACTGACTACAAATATCTTAGGTATCAAGTGATCGACACTCCTGGTATTCTGGATAGGCCATTTGAGGATCGTAATATCATTGAGATGTGCAGTATTACAGCTCTAGCACATCTGAGGGCTGCTGTGTTGTTTTTCCTTGATATTTCTGGGTCTTGTGGCTATAGCATTGCACAGCAGGCTGCTCTTTTCCACAGCATCAAATCACTCTTTATGAACAAACCCTTGATGATCGTGTGCAACAAAACGGNACAGCAGGCTGCTCTTTTCCACAGCATTAAATCACTCTTTATGAACAAACCCTTGATGATTGTGTGCAACAAAACGGACTTGCAGCCGTTAGAAGGGATTTCTGAGGAAGACAAGAAGTTAGTAGCAGAGATGAAAGATGAAGCCATGAAGACAGTGATGGGTCAAGGTGGCGAGGCAACAGATGAAGCAGGGGTGTTGTTAACTATGAGCACGTTGACCGAAGATGGCGTGATTTCGGTGAAGAATGCAGCTTGTGAGAGGTTACTGAATCAGAGGGTCGAATTGAAAATGAAGTCGAAAAAGTTGAATGACTGCTTGAACCGCTTCCATGTTGCTATGCCAAAACCACGTGACCAGAAAGAGAGGCCAGCATGCATACCTCAGGCGGTGTTGGAAGCCAGAGCTAAGGAAGCTGAGGCGGATGCTGAGAAACAGAAAAGGAAACTTGAGAGAGATCTGGAGAATGAGAACGGAGGTGCAGGTGTTTACTCTGCCAGCTTGAGGAAGCACTATCTATTAGCAAATGAAGAGTGGAAGGAAGATGTTATGCCAGAAATTTTAGATGGGCACAATGTCTATGACTTTATTGACCCTGATATCTTACAAAGGCTTGAAGAATTGGAGAGAGAAGAAGGTCTTCGTCAGGATGAAGAAGGAGATGATGATTTTGAGATGGACGGCGTTGAGCTGACCCCTGAAGAACAAGCAGCATTAGCTGAAATCCGGAAACAGAAGAGTTTGCTCATTCAACAGCATAGAATTAAGAAAAGCACTGCAGAGAGCCGACCCACTGTACCAAGAAAGTTTGACAAAGACAAGGAGTTCACTTCAAAAAGAATGGGAAGGCAGTTATCTGCTTTGGGGTTGGATCCAACTCTAGCAATCAATCGAGCTCGTAGTAAATCAAGGGGTCGTAAGCGAGAGAGATCAGTTGAACGTGGAGATGACATTGGTAAGGATGCAATGGATGTCGACGAGATTACTCCCAACAAGAAGCAAAGATTGAGGTCACTTTCCATTACGGCAAGATCAAGGTCAAGGTCACGACCTCCAGATGAATTTGTTCCAGGGGAGGGCTTAAAGGACAAAGCCCAGAAGAAGATGGCTATAAAGATGGCTAAGGGTTCTTCTAAGAAGAGGAACAAGGATGCTCGGCGGGGAGAGGCTGATAGAGTTATTCCTACTCTGAAACCAAAACATCTCTTCTCAGGAAAGCGATCAACTGGGAAAACTGACCGGCGCTAGTAAACCATGGTATATCTTGCTACCATTTGTTGCTCCTTTGACATTTTACAGGCTCCAGAATATGTTTTCTCCATCTGCTCTTGCCTTCTCAATAGTTATTTTCTTGTCTTAATAGCTACTTGTGTACTTTGAGTTTTCAGAACTTTGGATGATGTGTAACTTGGTACCTTTTAAATACTTGGAAAATCAGTAATTGATGCGTGCAATATTTCAATTATTACCTTTTGTTTTCCAGATGGCATTTTATCTCGGAATTTACTGATGGTTCCTATCAAGAAGCTTGTGTTGCAATATCTTGGGTGGCGGACAGAAAGGCTAAAAGAAAATTCAGCTTATTTTGGACAGCTTCCCAGTTGAATTTCTGTCTCTGTTATTTTGAACTTACCTTGCTGTTTATTTAAGCTATTTTTCATATTGTTTTTTAACTTTAAATTGTGGAAGAATGTTCGTTTTTATTTTATTTTAAAAGAACAAAGATGTGAGGAACATTACAAGAATTCAACCTATTGAAATGGCAAGACCAAGACTACAGATTAAGCATATAAGTTTGTGATTAAGATGCAGCTGAACTTGCTGCCTCCATTATGCATTTTTGGAACTTAGATACCTGTTGTAAGATTGTGTTTATCCCGATGTTAAATTGTGTCTCAGATTTTTTGATTTTTTTTAGTAGACTTTCCTCACTGTTTTTTGCATCAACTTTCTGTTTACACGCCCTAAAAAGCATATTCAGAAAATGTATTCATCTGCCTATCTCCTTAGGATGGTGTTTTTGGGAAATGCTGTGAGTTGAGAGCAGACTGAAGGAATGAAAAAGCACTGGTGAAGATGTGAGATAAGTTTTCCGCTGGGACTTTCAGGAATGTGATATGTAAACAATTGGGTGCAATTATATTCATATGTTTTTTTTAATGGTTTAAAATTCTGTATCTAGTATGTAGCGCGCAAAATTTACGCTTAAAGTGGTAAAATTTAATAGAAGTTAACCATAGAATTTCGCAAGAGAAGATAAGAAACTTGATTACAGTGAATCAATGATATATGGGGACTAAACATAAAATACTGTAAAGAATCAGATTACATACAGGTTTCTTGCTTGTATCTCTAATTAATTTTTACGACTACCAAGAATTGTTAACTCTAATTTCTCCACAGAAAAAAAGAGAGTTAGATTAGACATAAATAGAGCACTACAAAGGCCAAATATGGGCTACTATGACTGTTATATCATCATACTTTCCACCTCTCTGCTCAAATCCAGCTTTGGAACATTCCCTAGCAAAAGGCGTGTAAAGCTCTGTGTTCTTAGAATTCTCCAGTGCATATTGCGCTATCCTCCACGCCAATGTATGAGGTGCATCCGATTCCCACGAGTCCACTCCATTGTTTACAACAAGTTCTAACTCAAAATCATGAACATTATCGAACAATCCATCTGTTCCCATCACGATTATATCTCCTGCTTTCACCGGAAAACTAATCTTCTCTGCAACACTTGGATCATTAGAATTTTTACTATTCCCCAACTGAAAAGGACAGTTAAACCTCGACTGCTGAATTTCTGATTTGTACACAATTACCCCATCTCTGATCACCACGAACCCGCTATCTCCAACGTTAACAGCATGCAAAGTGTCATTAGCGAGTGACAACATACAAGCAGTAGAAGAACCCATAGCCTTTGTATTCAAGAAAGCTTCATTAAGTACTTTCATTAAATCAATATCAGCAGTACTACTTTTATCTTGTTGTTTCTGTTTTTGAATAGATGATTCAGCGTTTTCCATTAATTCCCTCGAGTATTTTCCTGAATCAATACCCTTTTTAGCCCAACCACCAACACCATCAGCAACACCTATAATCTGCTCCTCTGCACAAATAAAGTGTGCGTCTTCTCCTAGTGGCTTTTCTTCGTTAGTCTTTGGTATGTAAAACGAACCCGCAACCATACTCGTACTTCCACTACAGTTGGTCGTGTCTTGTTCTTGGGAACAAAAGTTAAATATCGGAACAATGTTGGGAATGGGATCATCAGTAATAACGTCCAAGGATGTTGTCAAATCCTGCGGGCAGAGCAAGAATTGGATAAAGTCAAGCTCTGATTTTTCAATGAGTCGCTGATTCTTAGTAAGGATTTCTGTATCATCTGCAGACTCAGATTCATCAATGTGTCGCTTCTTGTTATGTACTATTTCTGTAGCCATTTAAGGGAGGGAGAGTATAGAAAGTCACAAGGCGAAGGAAGATACTCCGTAGTATATATAAGCCTTAAATCCCAATTCATGTAGGAAACGGAGTGTGTTACTTTGACTTCAAGCCGTGTCTAGAATCCCCTCCTTTTTTTCCGATTTGTATCAAAATTTGGAAACCTATTTCATTTTAGTTCAACCCAAAAAAAAAAATGTTTAAAATATATTCATAATTTATAATGTATTTAAAAATTAGCCAATTTATCCAAATTTTAGGACTAAGTATTCTGAATTTTTGAGCTACTAATTTGGAAGTCAGGACTTAGTGTCCTAAATTTTTGAGCTGCTAATTTGAAATTTAGGACTAAATGTCCTGAATTTTTGAACTACTAATTTAAATTTCAGGATATAAGATTCGAATTTCTTGATAAAATTTTCGAACTTTAGGACACGATGTACTGAAGTTTGAACTTTAAGGTTTACACTTCAGGACGTTGTGTCCTGAAGTATGAGCGAATTGACTAATCTTTAAATACATTGTAAATTGTGGATATAATTTAAATAACATTCTTAGAAGTGGTCACCTGATGTCATTTCCACCATAAGATATGCTCCTTCCAATAAATGTTAGAAGCATATGTGATAATTGTCTTAATGTATGCATATTTTGATATATATCACCTCACATTTTACTCATGTCTCGACGATTTGAGATGTTTAATATGATTATTTGTGCTAATTTTTGGTATTTCTATGTGTAGGAATCATTCGGATGCAATTTGGGATAAAATGGCGCGAATTGGAGCGAAATCGGGACAAAATCGCAAAAATGGAAATTTGAGGGCCACAGCCAGCGTGGGGCGCTGGCTGTGGCGCACTTTACAGAGACCAAAAAGTTTGAGCGCCAGGGCCAGCGCCCCACGATGCCCTGGACGCTCAAGACGGGAAGTTTCCTTTTTGGACTAGGACTCGGTTATTTCGATCCCTAGACGCCCCCAACTCATATAAAAGCAAACCTAAACCTATTTTTGAAGGGGTGAACGTGATTTAAAGGAGGAAGGAGGCGCAAAACACTCAAAAGCAAGGATTTGATCAATTCTTCCATCCCTTTCCTAGTATTCATTGATTTTATGTTTGAAAACATGATTTTTGATGATTGTATGAACATGAGTGGCTAAGAAACCTATTGTTCTAGAGTCATGGGTATACATGAATGTTGATGTTTGAAGTTTAATTTGACAAAGTTGATTTTATCATATTAGGTTATTTATTTAATTCTGTTTTTAATTATTTTACTGAGTAGCTAACAATGAAATACTATCTACGAATCTAGAGTTGAACTCGAAAGTGGGAACTCTAGATTGCATATAGAATTAAATAGAGCAAGTTCTTGAACCCGGGCATCGGGGAACGGATTCGCAATTAGGATAGACATATACCTAATTGCCTTGCTCGGTTG